CCTAGTCCTTTCAACATGGAGCTCATGGAGCTCACAAATCTGCTAATTTTTGCTTTCTGTATAAACAAGTCTCAGGAGAGAATGGAATTGTTCATTTCTCCCTGGAATTGTCTCTCTATAGCATGTTACTAATGCCATAAGGTCATGCTTATTATGTCTCTATCAAGTATACTGTTTATCATTTAGTACCCTCTAAAATTTCACCTTGGCCCTTCTAAAGGTTCTAAATTCCTAGGCCTAAAAGCCTAGAATTCTAAACTTCTTTTTTTATTCCATACTTCTTGTTTCTTATGTGTTTTTCAATCTTTTATGACTATTTTTAAGCTAAAACTACTTCTATACACTCTACATATACTTCTATATACTGTATACTCTTCCTGTCCTAAAGACATCCCTGTTCTCTCTCTCTCCTTCCTTCCCTTTTTCTCTCATCCCCCTCACTCCCCTCTTCCCTTCCTCTTCTCCCACTTCTTTTTCTCTCTCTCCCCGCTCTTCTCTTACTCCTTCCTCTTTTTTCTCCCTCTATACCTGTCTCTCTCTTCCTTTCTACTGGTGGTAGATGCACAATAGGCAAACACTATACACAGCTCCAGTGCTGTAACAGTAAAGATGTATTAGCTTAACTCCATTCCCTGGAGTTTACAATGTCTTTGCCAGAAAGAACCTATCATTCATTGTACTGCTTCATGCACCAGTGTAACATCTGAGCACATGACAAGCAGTGCTGGCAGTACACGCTCAGCATTCTCCCAAGGCTGGCTCAGGCGCCACACAGCTGAGGGCTTCTATAGCTCCAGGAATGCGTGCAAGCCCCTGCCTACCTTGCTGCTCCAGGAGCTGAAAATCCTCTAGTTCTCCTCTCAGTGTTCCTGAAATCCCCATAGTTTGGGATGCACTAGTAGGCTAGCCACCCAGTACTTTACGATGGAGAATTAATTACCTCCAAATGTTTGCTTTCTTCTTAAGAAGGACAATAACAACCTAAGTGCAAGATGGCAACTTTAATGGGTAAGGAAGTGAGAGAGAGGGGTTATTCTACAGCAGAGGTCCATTACTGAGAGACAGGCCTACATAGGACTCCCCAGAACATATTTACCCATCATGCCCAAGATACAGGATGAGGTAGGTTCAAGAAAGAAGACCAGATGGAGAAGGGACCCCCAAACACTGACCTCACAGACTTCCCTTCTGTCCCAAGGTTCTATCCCTCTATTAGACCCTGTTTTAGTGTGTCTCTTTTCCTCTTAACAGTGGAGCTGGGACTCAAATGGTAGAGTGCAAGCCTTGAGTGAAAAAGCTAAGGAATAGTGCCCAGGCCCTGAGTTCAAGCCCTGGTACTTACATAAGATTAAAAAATAAAATAGCCAGGAGCGGATGGCTCGTGCCTGTCATCCTAGATACTCAGAAGGCTGAGATCTGAGGATCACCATTCAAAGTCAGTCTGGGCAGGAAAGTCTGTGAGACTCTTATCTCCAATAAACCACCAGAAAACTTGAAGTGGTTCTGTGGCTCAAGTGGTACAAGCACTCGCCTTGAGCTGAAGAGCTGTGCCCAGGCCCAGAGTTCAAGCCCTACAACTGACAAAAATATAAATAAATAAACAAAATAACCTCAGTGATCTAGACAAGGAATCTGGACATTTGCTCGAGTTTTAAGATTGGCTAATTTATATAGATCAAGTTTTGCCAATGTCACAGTCTGGTGAGTAACTGTAAAGAAAAGCAAATATTTTATTTTATCCCCAAATCCTTGTAAACATGGTAAATTATCACAGGGCCACACTAAGTGCAGAAAACACCTCTGAGGAAAGGGGTAATGAAGAGAATTATTCATGCTATGGAAAATTTGAGACACCCAAAAAAGACACTAAAAGATGGGGAGAGTCACACAGTAAAGGTGGGGAGGGGGTGAAGCTACCTCACCTCTAACTGTGAAATTAGTTTACCTTTGTTAAGATGCCGAGAGTTCACAAAAACTATAAATATCACACGCTGATTATTTAAGAGAAAGACGCTAATTTTCAACTTCGTGCTATTTCTAGCAAGCTCAATCTGCTCTGCAGGAAGCATGAGGGTGCCGATGATTAAGGAACACTATGTTAGGCGATGATAACACACTGCCTCTGGACCCCGCTCTTGTCAATGTGACAGGATCTGATTTGATCCTACAGAAATGTCAGGGACACACACACACATTAGCGATGCCCAGATTTCAATACAACTCAGTGATGCTTCATTTCACACACTGCAATCCCTGGGCCAGGGTTCCCTGTCATCAAGTAGCTAATGTGGATTCCTGATAATTATGACAAGGAAATTTAAAAAAAAAGCCACAATCTCAAAGTAATTTAGCATTAAGGTCTCTAAACATAGTCACTGTGAGGGAGGTCTGCACAGGGACACCTCCCTACCTCGTCGCTAAGTTTCTGCCCAGTATCTGTTACCTAGGTAACTGGCAGACCTGGAAGCAGTCACCTTCCCCTCCTTCTAGGTCACATCCTGGGCCACCTCTGGTCACATGCTGCCCATCTGACCTTAGGAGGGTCCCAGACCCTGAGGTCATGTCTGGATCCAGTGTGGCCACACCTCTTCCTGTCCCAAAAAGTCTTGGCCCAGGGGTGGGTCGCCCCTTTCTTTTCAGCCATGCCTCTCCACCATGCACAGTGGGGACAGCAGTTCGGTAAATAAAATTCTCCTGCTGAATAGCGCATGGTGTTCTTTTCATCGGCTACCTAATGAAACCTACCTATTTCCTATTTAATATACCTTACAGTCACAAGAAGGAAAGGTGTAGACAGAAGTTTCCTGTGGCCTTCAGACTCTGAATCATCAGAAAATGAGCCCATTATGGCTTTACACATATGCCTATACCTGAAAGCTCTATCCATCACAAATTCCATCACCTTTGCCTACCTTGCCAAGGCTAGGTTCTGTATCACACCTGCCTCATTTCTGTAGTTTATCGCTCATCAGCCAGTCTGGGTGGTCACCCAGCTACCTCTGGGAGGTACATAAAACACAGGTCCAGCCATGCTTTTGCCTTGCTTAAGAAACTACACAGGCTCACCTTCTCCCATCCCTCAGATTCAAGTTCATGTTCTTATTTTCTTAATTGTATTTTGGGATTTTTCAATCGTTTGTTTGTCTGGTTACTTGTGCTTTTGGTATCATAACTAAGAAATTATTGCCTAGTCTAAGGTCATGAAAGCTTTACCTTTACATTTTCATCCTTTATTTGTTATAAAATTAGCCTATGCTAATAATACAAAGGGGTTTCATTATGATAGTTTCATAGACACCTATAGTATACATCGAACAAATTCACCCTCCATCTTATAATATTGCTTTTTCAAACAGTGAACGGTATTTGGTGGGTTTCAATATGCTACCTTCCTGTGGAGGGGGAGATGTCTTTCAGTTCTCTCCACTCTCTGTATCTTCTTGTTGTTGTTGTTGGTGGTGGTGGTGGTGGTCATGGGGCTTGAACTCTGGGCCTGGGCACTGTCCTTGTGCTCTTCAGCTCAAGGCGAGCGCTCTACCACTTGAGCCACAGCGCCACTTCCGGTTTTCTAGTGGTTTATTGGAGATAAGAGTCTCCTGTGATTCTCAGATCTCAGCTTCCTGAGTAGCTAGTATTACAGGCATGAGCCACCAGTGCTCAGCTGTCTGTATCTTTTTCTTTCCCCCTTCCCACTCCTGCTGATTGCCCCTAGACAGTCACCTTTTACATTCATGCCCTACTACTATTAACATCATTATCAACATCACAATCATCGTGATCATTTTAGGTCTAACTTTCACAAATAAGTGCGACCAATATTTGGCTTTTTGTGCTTGTCTCGTCTCACCCAACATGGTGAGCTCCAGTTCCATGGCAAATATGAAGTAAAGCCATGAAGGACTTGGGATAATATATGCACATACTTGTTACTTCATAGGTAGAATAATATACATATGTATACACATTGCTTCAGACACAGAGAACATGGACACTCTTTTCATGCATCCTTAGAACTTTGCCCATGTATTAGGGCACAAAGAAAATGTATCACTTCTAAAACAAATAGAAGTCATACAATATATCTAGAAAATATCAACAAAAACATTTTCCACAAAAAAAAAACAGTAAGCCAAGTATGACTGCATATGTCTGTAATTCTAGCTAGTCAAGATATTGATATAGGAGAGTTGTAATTCCAAGTCAGCTTGGGCAAAAGAGTTAGCAAGACCCTATCTAAAAAGAAAAAGAGAGATAGAGAGAGAGAAGAGCAGTCTGACTTGGAAATTTGTAAACTCTAAATAATCTAAATTAAAGAAAAAAATCAAAAGTGGGATTTTATTGTTTCTTAGCCTTTTGGCTAAGATCAATAGAAAGAAATAATAAAGATAAAAGCAGAAAATATTGAATTAGAAAACCCTTTGGTTGTAAATAAAAGTTTGTTCTTCAAAAGCAATGAAAAGGGGATACTTTTGAAAAGAGATAAGGTGGTAAACCCTATCAGGAATAATAAAAAGATAAAACCACAAATACAAAGATTTGAAAAATTGAGGACAATGTACTCTGCCAACTGTTCCCAAAATTTTGATACAATGGATCGCTTTCTAAGAAAAAAAATTTCACAAATGACACAAAGCAAGCAGAAAGCATAAACAGATTCAGAACCAGGCAAAAAGTTAAGTTGTTTTTAGATAAAATCCAAAAATTTGTGTGCTGGGGGGAACACTTGACACATTTCGTGTGGTAGAGTGGCAAGGATAGAAACTCAGCTCTAATCCTCCCTCTGCCTCAGTGGAATATGATCATGGGGCTTAGCAAGCAAAAATGTATCACCCAAAGTTAAATTTAAATTGAAGATAAGGAGCAACTTCTCAGTATTCCTATGCAATAGTGAAGACATGCTTTCCGTAAAAATCATTTGCTGTTTCCCTGCAATTCGAACTTACCTGGAAATTCTTTATTTTAGTGGCAATCCTAGAATTTAGCCAGATGGGTGGACTTACTTTGTGTCTCTTCTCTTCTCTCTGAAAAGATGACAGTGATCAATGACAGTGCTGACGGTGAAGATGTTGGTGACAACGGTAATGGTGATGATGATGTTGATGATGGTAAATCTATATCATGAACATAAAGGGGAAATTTAAATGACTCTTAAAGAAAAGGTGGTACTTAGAGTTCATAGCATAAATGGTGACTATGTTAATAGCTGCTTTTCCTTCCCTTTCCCTTCCTTCCCTTCCTACCTCTTCCCTTCTTTCTTCTCCCTCTTCTTTCTCTTCCCCTCCCCTCCTCCTCTCCTCTCTCTCTTTCTCTTTCTCTCCCCTTCACTTCTCATACCCCTTATCTATCACCCCTTATCTCTTACTGAAAGAAGAAAAAAATTGCTACATGAAGGTTATAGTTGTATCTGTCTCACAGGGGATTCTTGTCTCTCAGGAAGAGACACTCGGTTGTTGTGTCACCTGGTGTTCGAGAATGAAGAAAATGACTAGTGCAGGCTGAGGCCTGGGGAGGGAGGGAGAAGGGGTCACAGGGGTCATGGAAATTCAGGAGAGTCAGTGGAGGTAGGGGAAGGCTAAGAGCAGGGGAGGAGATCTAGGGTAAAAGTAGACCTACAGAACAGAGGTACTTGGGTTCCACAGCTGAGCTAATTCAATAACTGCCATATTTGCTGTTTACAAAGGCTCAACTGGGTAATTTTTCACAGTAGTGTTTTTTACTTCCATGATCATCTAAGAATTAACATAAGTACTTCCCCAAATACTAAGATGGCTGCCCTAGGCCATCTCTTTTTTATTATTATCTTTAAGAAGTTGTACAAAGAAGTTCCCATTCTACAAAACAGTATATGAATACCAGGTGTCTGACAACATTGTCACCCATCGCTCCTAACCCATCCCTTCTCTCACTTCTTTTCTTTTAAATTGAGATTAGGTGATTACATAAATTTCACATATTTCACAGTGTTATGGAATAGTAATATTTAAAGTCACAAACACATTTTTAACCTTCACAAGGCAAACTGTCATTATCATGGTCTATAAAGTTTGTGAATTCCTAGGCCATCTCTTTGCCTATGTTGTGCTCATCTTCATCATTGTGATGGTGCCAAAAACACTGTTTTAGATAGTCAAAGCCAAAGAGAAAAGAACATATTTGAATCCTGTGCATAAACACAATATGCAACATGAAAGCCAAATAATGTCATAGCACATGGTATGAATTGAAGTTATTTAGTTGCTGGAACAAAAATTGAGAGGTGAGATAAAAATTGAGTCATCTCACATACAATTAACAACCTGAGTTAAGCCGGGTATGGAGGCTCAGGCCCTAAGCCCAGCCACGTGGGAAGCAGAAACAAGAGAATCATGTTTTGAGGCTAACTCAAGCACAAAAACATTCATGAGGCTCCATGGCTGAGACCAATGGGCTGAATGTGGTGGTACACTTCGGTCATCCCCAGCAATGCAGGGAAGCACAAGTATAAGGATCACAGTCCAGGCTAGCCGATGAATAAAGCAAGACTCTACTTTGAGAAGAACAAATGCAAAATGGCACTGAGGTCTGGAAGGGGGGGAAGGAGTGGGGTACAACTCCCCCCTAGGGGTAGCTGCAGGTCATTAAAGGTGACATCTATCCTGTGACACTGTGGTATAATACCCAAGGAAGATGTGTCCTGGGTTACAGAGAGTGAAGGAACATGGGATGGTGGGCAGGGTTGGAGACCTTCCTGCTTTGCCCAGAATCCAAACCCTTGTTCTCTATCAGTCATGGAACCACTCCCAATGGAGGAGAAAACTGAGTCTTTTCCTTTTGTGGCTGTGTGTTTCTGTGTTTACATAGGTACACTATATATATATATCATGTGTGCATCCCCAACCCTTGACCCAAAATGACACACCAAACACAGTATGTGACTAAACTCAGGATCATGCATTCTTTAAGTGTTCAAAATCAACAGGACAAGGAAGAAGAAGGGAAAGAGGAAGAAGAGAGAAGGAAGGAAGAGGAGACAGAGAAGAGATTGCAGCTTGAGGGACAGTGGTAAACAGCTGCTGTTGAAATTGAAGTATGAATCATGAGCGTCTTTCATGACTAAGGTGAACTGCGTCTTCATTTGAAAGAGAAAAGAAAAACAAATCGGAGGGCCAAGTAACTACTCTGAAGTCACACAGCAAGATGTGGCTACAATTCAGATTCTGATGAATCTAAAGGACACCATTACTCCCTCATGATTCCCCCCCCCCAATTTGGAAATAATCCACGGGGACTCAATTTCATTTGGTGGTGATCTGCCTAGGAAGAGGTACCCACCATTTTGAATCCTAAACTTGTATATCTTAACTTTAAAGCTGTAACATCAGAAAAATCCCAAAGCAAAAGCCACTTAAGTTCTAGGATGCTATAGTTGGAAGTCAAAGAGAAATCCACTCCCACTCTTGCAAAGGTCTTTCAAGAACATGTCTGAGTAGCATTTATGCTGAACCATCTCCCCTGAAGATGCACAAGGTTTCCACCCCTCCCTCCCCCCACCCCCTTCCCCGACCCCCCCACGAGACAAACCAAACCTTTTTTGCTGTTGTTTTGTGCCTGAAATCTCCTTCCAAGGAACACAGGCCCTCCTGATCCTCTAATTATACTTGATGGTGCAAGATAAAGTAAAAACGAAAGCTTCATAATGAAGATGTACTATCCCCTCGCTTCAACCATAAGCAATGAAAAGCTCGCCATGACCTAATTTGAGCAACAGGCAGCAACAGCCCAATTTCATACCAAGGAAGAGACATTATTAACTTGTGACCCAACCCAGGAGCCTGGCAGCTGTGAAATAAAGTTCTAGTTTTAAAAACCAAAAAGGAAGAAGGGAAAAAAAAACAAAGTCTTCAGATCTTATTGCCAATAAAATGTTTACACTTGGCTTAACAAATTTGATAGTAATGATGTTTTTTAAAATGTGTTGTTCACAAGTACCTTTGTCATATTGAATACAAATAACCAAATAATGAGTTTGGAATTGCAAACAGATTACCTCTGTCCTGGAATTGATGCTATTAGACCACTGCTTGAAGCAACCCAATCGCAGAGGCACAGGCTTGCCACGTGACCCTCCCAGCAGACCCTATAAACTACATCTTGGCTGCCTGGTTGGGTCACATGGTTACCCAGTGGTAAGGCTCCATATGGCTGTAGGTACTGTGGGTTCAGATCAGACTCATGTAACCACACACTCCAAAACACAATAACCAAAACATCCTAGGAATTTTGGTACTTGGCTACATAAGAACTCCATGGAAACCAAAGAAACTGAGGAAATGACACAGCTCCCTAACTAGTCTCCAAATGTTTGGCATAAATTTCAAATGAGAAGGACATGCCAGTTTTGCAGAGAGATGTATTTTAACCCAGAAAACATAGCCAACTTCTAAGCACAACAGGAATACTAAGGCAAGACCTACTGCTGGAATTAGCCTTTGAGACAGGACCTCAATTGACAACAGATACTCTCAGAGATACTCTGAGATAC